AAATTGCGAAGGAGAGTTTGGGATATCTTGTATATCTAATTTTACAAAATATATAAAATAATACTTGATTATATATATCATATAATTAATTAATACCTCGATACAGTACGCGTTTTAATCAATCGAAGAAATATGTTGTTTATAATTGTCGCTGTGTTTCTGTAATAAGTTTTTACTTCAAAATATGATCAAATAGGGATTAAAGAAGATTATAAATACAAGGCTAAATACTTCTATTTTTAAGACCTTAATAATCAAGCTCCTCCACATTCTTTTAGAATAGTAAGATTCATTAAAATGTTTTTTACGAGTAGGAAGATGTAGATAAGTGCGCAGTTTCTACGCTCTCCGTGCATTTATACTTCCAAGAATCAGCTTCCAAAGTCATTTATAGCTTCTAAAGTTATAAATGCAGAAAAACATAAGCAATAAGCGAATCAACCAATCACAGTCTAACATTATCGAGAACATAAAACAATATTTAAAGTTTCAACTACGTTTAGTCTACTTTCTTACTGCTTAACTTTTCAGTAGCGTGCGTTGTTTTCTTTAATTTAGGCGCCTGGTTTAACACTATAGATATATATTCTGCTAAGAAGTATATGTTTTTCGGAAATATATATATAAGCATCAGACATTATGTATATTACAAAAAATGCTTAGTAAACATAGATCGAAAAATAAACTCTTTCAGAATTACAAATATTTTTCAGTTTTAGTAATTTGCAAGTTATTTGTGTGTTTTCATTGATCATGTGTGTGGAATGAACGTATGATTATCTTACCACATTATTACTTTGATGTTTAAAATAGATGTTTGTATCTCCTTTCAAACATTTTTGGTCTTGCGAATCAATTTTATTTCTACACAATAATATTTACATTATCATTTTGCTTCAATATAGCTATTTATCCTTATGATTAGCGATCGCATTGTTCAAGAAGTGCGGTAGCAAGAATTCTTTCAACTACGTAAGCTTATTATTCTAATCGGGAAATGGCAGATATACATCTCGTATATAGTCTTGCCGATAGAAATATTTTAGCTGCACGACATCTCTATGTGCGGAAAGATATCCAAATCGGAAAATTCTGTAATATGAAGACATCAAGCCACCCAAAAAAAATAATTTTAATAGAAGTGGAATTCTCTAAATCTTAAAGGATTTTATTCTTATGGCTTTATTATATGACCTTATAGAGGATTGCTTTGAAATCAAGAGAAAAATAATCTTAAACACAATTCTTAAAGATAGGAGGAATTTCATATTGAATGTACAGTGCAAATCTATTTGTTCTTAATTTAAATTTTCTCTTATATAATACTTCAACTCAAAAATATTTCTTCGGATTTAATAAATTTTATCACGAAAGAAAGATCAGAAAAACTTTGTTGTGCTTGTGTGTATCTGTAGATGTCCACTTTAATGCCATATGAGATGAAAAACATTAGACTCGGCTGGAATCGAACCCAGGTTCTTCCGCTTGTCAGGTAACCGCTCTTCCCACTGAGCTATTTAAGACTTCATGTTTGTGATATCTATATATCCAGTGAAAAATGACTCGTTGATTAACGTCAAAATGATATCAAACTGATGTCGGTTTGACGATTTCAACGTCGATTTGATTGAAACGTCGACAGTAAATTGACTCTGGAAGCGTGGTTTCAACCAATCCTACACAACAGTACGCAGTGAAACAACAATTCTTCGCGTCTCTCGTACTGCACGTAAGACGGCATTGTGCTTCAAATTAACATATTCCTCTTGATATAAAGGAACACAATTAAAATAATATCTCATAAATGTACGATGAGTGGTTTCTTTTAATGAAAGATGAATATGCTTTCTGTAAGATATTTCTTTTAGAACATGGATTTAAGGAAAATTCACTTTGTACATAGAATACTTTTTTTGAGTGAGTATATGTAAAAGTGGATGGAGGACATATAGAATATCTTTTGTAAACATCAAAGTAATAATATATCTTTTGTAAACAACAAAGTAATAATAAAGTAATAATAAAAGTAATAATATACTTATTTGTTCATTTATCGCATATGATCAATGAAAGTACGCAAATTAACACAAGACCACAAAAAAGTCTTTTTAACAGAAAAAAGAACCATTATTTTTTATGTATTTCGACATGCTGAAACCAAATATGATCTTTAAAATAATGTAGCATATCAAGTTTTTGTCATAACGGGCAAAAAAGACTCAAAATTAAATATTTTTTATATTCCACATAGGACATACACGTTGTGATTAAATTTTCTTAGCTTAAAACCAATAATTATGTACATTTATATATTGAAACATACAAGACTTTTAATAAGCGAGATATTAAGTTATATATGCGAGGTGCTTAACTTCTTTGAGCTCTTTTGCCTTTTACATATGGATATTAATACGATATGTTCTATGTAAAATATAAAAAATACTTCATTTTAACCCTTTTTTAATTCTATTATAACTCCATTATAACAAAAACTTGATATGCTACGTTTTTTTAAAGGTTGTATTCGGTTTCAGCACGTCCAAAATATATAAAAAATAGTTCTTGTTTCTGGTGAACTTTTTATTTTTTTAATGATCTTGTGTAATTTGCATTACCAAAACCAAAAAACATTTATAACTCTAAAAAGTTTGACATTTTAGTCTATGTTTACTACATATTTTTTATTTAGTATAATGAGTAGTATCTACCCTATAAATTTTGAATTCTTTTTTCAAAGACTCTGTATACCCTTCCAATTACGCCTACAGACCACGCGCCTAACGCCTAAAGTAATAGAAAGTATATAAGTAAAATAATATAAAGTAATAGAGAAGAAAGATATATGCTCTTTTATTACTTATATTTTTATACCATAGCCACTAACGTCTTTGGATGCTGGTTCTTGAAGGAATAAATGCATTTGGGATCTTAGGGATGACATATTCATTTAAAACATTTTATATTAACAACGATCCTTTTTAAAACACCTCACTATATATGCTATATGGAAGCCTTTATATCTATTAAACATAAGATCACTAGGATTTCTCAATAATACACATCATATTTATTAAGTGCATGCAAAAGTTCATACGATATTAAATAAATTTTTATATATTTATCTTTTGAAGCAATCCATTCATTGATCCATTTTCGCACTTGTTCAAAATTTCAGAATCGTATTTTAAATAGATCATGCTGCATCAACTTAAACAGATGAAAATTAGTTGAGGTGATTTCTAGAGAGTATGCTGAGTGTGACTTCTCAATTAACTCGTTTTTTTAATCGTAACAGCAACGTATGATCTGGTATTGTCATAAATCAGAAAGACTTTGCGTCGATTCGTGGTTATTTATAGGCATTTGCTTTTCATGGCTTGATTAAAACATTATAATTACTGACTGTAGCGATCTCCTGTGACTGTTTGCCCTAGTGACAATAGCTCATACTAAAGCATTTTTTAGTTTTATTAGATAAACAAGAGAATTTTATCTAGGAACATGGACATGGCGTTTTGTGGATGTCGATGATCGGATTCTGACTTTTTGCGTTTAAGATTGTCGAAATAGATCCACTTTTCATCATCTACAACTATTCGTCACAAAAAACTTTTTTTTTATATCCGATAAGCAAGAAGAGAGATTGTAAACCGATTCTCGCAATTGCATTTACAGAAAGTTTATGAGGAAGTCATCTTCCTTCTTTCTAAATATAAGATATATTTTAGATCTTCCATTTTTCCTATTGCTTTCAAATGACGGGATATTATCGATTCATCAACTTCAAGATGATCTCTTTTAACGTTTCGGCTGTGTTTTCGTTGAACAATGTTTTCAATCAGTGATGAGAAATCGTGTCCGGACACACTAGCGTTTTTCACTCTCCACTTATACACGCTCCGTCTATCCGTGTAACAAGCTCGTTACACAAATAGACAAAGCGTTTCTATATGCATAAGTAGAAAGGAAAAAATGCCAGTGCGCTCGGGCACGATTTCGCATCACTGCCTCTAATTCGTTGTTTTCCATTTCGCTTAGATGAACGTCGTGAACGTCGTTTCTCGTTGACATCGTAAACAATATTTCTAAACCTTTTCAATCGTTTTCCACAGACAATAGCACACACAAAAAATCTCTTCTTAGACTATTAATTGTTGCATTAGTTTCACCTCGATTAAAGTAATTAAAGTATGCAATGGCAAAGATGAACTTTGTTTTCAACGTTAAATATAACATTTTATTCGGAACTTGAGTTGTCAACTATCAATTCTGATCATGTATGACCAACATTTAAAAAGCAACTTAAAAAAAACAAAAGCACTGTTGCAGCCATGTATTTGTGATTTTACAAACTTTTGCAAGCATCTAATATATAATCGTGCATTATGACTGTTTATTATAGTCATTCAAGAAAACAGTAGTGACATTTCAAACATTAGTTCTTTTATATGTATTTCTGTTTTTTTACGTTACAGATACCATTAAGAGTATTTGAGGTATCATTATTTCTTTGAACAATTAATACTCATGATACACAAATATATAAAAATAACGCATGTAACTGAAAAATCCTGATAATCCTAGACTTAGTGAATGTTATGGCATTTGTGCAGTCTAATGTACAATTGCAGACTGAAAGATTGTCTGTCTTTTTTCATGAGTTTAAAAACATTTTATTTTGCCTGAAGAAAAAATTTGTTTTTCAATGGGAAAATTCTCCCATTAGACAAGATAGATGTGTTTGGAAACTCATATAAAAAAATAGCAAACAACCTTTTTGTCCATAAATGTACACTCGTTGTCGGAAAGGTTGTCTCTTTTTTTTTATTTTAAGTTTAGGAATTTTTCTTGTCTTACCCAATGAAGGCATTCTCTTATTGGGCAATAAATTATCCTACTAGATAAGAGAAAGAGAGAGACAAATAAGTTTTTAAACTTAAAAAAAAACCAGACAATCTTTCTAATGGCGAGTGTACACCTGTTTAAAATAAGATACTTACTTTGAGCATCTAAGTTAACATTCTGTTTTCTAAGATCTTCAATACTTTGTTGCTGAGAAACATTCTTCTTCCGCATAGTCTGAATATATTCCGCTGCTTTCTTTAGGATTTGTGCTCTACTCGCAGCCTTTTCAGCTTGCAAGGTTGGTACTGCATTTTTTAAACTGGAGAAACTGTCTTTAATATGGTCCCGACGTTTCCTTTCTAAAGCATTGTGGTGAGCTCTTTTTTCTGCCTGTATAAATAAGTTAATAGCATTTAATTAAGTATTATATGTCATAGGAAAAAATAATCTCCATATACGCATACATATACACTGAAAGAAAAAAATATCTAATAGTAAATATTTTTTGGGAACTGGGTATTAATACATATATTTACTTATACTAATATATAAAATAATTTTTAAATAAGAAAATATACATTTTCTTAAAACTTTAAGAAAACCTTAATTTTTCATGAAAGTAGTTGTTAATTCTACTTAAATGAACAAAACTTAGATTTAATATGCTAGTATCCAAAGAAATAGTTGCTTTTTTTTAATATTTTTTCTCTCAGTATACACATTTATGGGTGTTTTTCAGAAGACAAACAGATGAACTCAGCTTTTAGTAAATTTCAATGATTACAATACCAGAATACATGATTAACTTTTTACAATTACAAAAAATACATTTAACTTTTTAAAATTAAGTGTATAACTTTATATATTTAATTATTACATATTTAACATTCTAAAATTAAAAAAATATACAAAGAATAGAGTTGGTCAGTTTGAGTTACTCAATATAACTTGTATTTATATACTATGTATTTTAGTTTTTATATAGTGTAAGATATTTCATTATGTGATTATCTGATTATAACTAATAATTAAAGGTATCAAATAAATCACTCCTACATAAATATGATCATTAGAAACATCTGTATTATTTTGCAACAAATAAAAAATGTATATAACTAAACAGTAATATTTAATGAATATAGAGAGCTTAGAACTTTATCATAAAAAAAAATTAAACATTGATGATCTCAAACAAAAAAAATCAAACATTGATAATCTCAATTATACTTCAAAATACTTGATTGACCTGATGTCTCAAAAAACTATGCTAGTTAATTAATTCTGACTTTATTAAGGAGTTTATTCACCAGGTATTTTCAGGATGCCTAAAGGATGTATTTTCAGTGTCACATTAAAAAAGTTACTTATAAATTCACTATTTATCACAAAAAATTACGTTTTTATATATTTATTTCACTATCTAAATAAGAAATGTCAATTTGAAACTAATTTCATGATACTACATTGCTAAGTTTTACTCACTCAGTATAATGCTACTCAAAGCATAAAACAGCAGTTTTCTGACCTCCAATTGACCATTACATAAAAACAGTGTAGTGTGTGTGAATACTATTCTTTCTTCTATGCCAGGTTTCCTAATATATAACATTTGTAACAGTAAGTTTCTTATTTGAATGATATTATTTTCTACAAAGTTATATTGGAATAATGGTCATCTATATTGCTTTTACCATGAGTTTATACATGCAAAATTGTAATATTCAGTATTAAATTCCTTATAAATGGCAAATCCAACTGTAACTACAAATGAAACTAACTACAAAATGTTTTATTACAATAAATGTTATATTAAATTTTTGTACAATTTTAACAATTTGGATCGAAATGAATAAACTCCTTAATTTGACTTTTCTTTTAATTGCTCAAAAAACTAGACTGCTCAAATTACTATTCTGGCTCTCTAATATCAATGCTAAAAGAAGGTAACCATAGCATGTTTTGACTTACTCAATAAAGTGATATGATTGTTTATTTGTTTATTGCTATTTTGTTTTATTTTTCGCAGTATTACTGTTTCATAACGGTTTTATTCTTTACAATACAAAATCAATGTTTCTAAGCATAAATGTCTTAGGTTAAGCATTCTGTATCATAATGTTACAATAAAATGCAAACAAGGGAGAAAATGACGCAATGGTAAACTCGTTCGGTAAAAGTGATCTACAGATTTGATTATCCGCTATGAAGAAGATTCTAGATTGATTATTTAACGAATCTCACCTGAGAGCAATATTGCGTGTTGTTTGGGTGTCTAAGTCGCGAGTCAGAGTCGTCGCCATCCTGAAAACAAAAGGATTGATCAGAAAGTTTTTCCACAGGGTTGCGAGTTTCCCACGATGTTACTCACATCACTTTCGATGTCAATATCGCGATCGTCGTCGCTCATGATACGTACGTGATAACTGCACACAAAATTAAAGAACCGAGATCACAGTAACAACACAAACGACGAAAGTACGTCACGATCTACTGTGATACAATGCGCAGTGTTCTCAACAAATGTTCTCGAGCGGATTGCGCATTTGTGCGCATGCGTGTCGAGCGTGGTCTCGCGAAAAAGCACGTGGACACTCAAATGACTAAAGCCTTATGCACAATGCCATGCAACAGTCAATAGGAATAGGCATTAGCCAATAGGAACAGGGAATAGAAATAATTGACCAATCCGAATTCCTATTCCCTGTTCTTATTGCCTGTTGCCTGGCATTGTGCATAGAGCGTAAGGTACGTATTCATGCTGTTACTTGTCGCTCATATTCAGCGACAAACAAGTCACGTGATTTCATATGTCGCTAAGGGCCTTTGCACTATGGACATAAGAGGTTTGTTCGCGTTGCATGCCCCAACGTGCTCCTACTTGCTCCAACGCACTCTGATTGGTCACGTCACTACGCGGACCAATCAGAGTGTGTTGGAGCGAGTAGGAGCACGTTGGGGCATGCAACGCGAACAAACCTATAGTATACATAGGCTCCGAATGATTTGTATATACTTGACCAGAAAAAAAACTCCGGCTGGAAAACTATTCTTTTAAATCGTTTGTATTTAAATTATCGTATGAAAAGTTTTTAAGTGCAATTGAAAAGTTGAGTCATTCTATTACTTGTAATTAATTGTTCTTTTTTAGATCATATATTTAGCCGGAAATAATGACCGGAGGTAAATTAAACAAAAGTTCGGTATGGTATCGTTTGTATTTCATATGAAGAATTATGAAGTATCATTAAAAAGGTTTGTGAGTCATCCAGATAATTTTAATTAAATATTAAAAAATCATGTATTTGGCCGAAATATCAATTTCAAGCGTTACTGTGGAAGTACCGTCAGGCACGATCGGTGTACTATCTAGTATTTCAATACTCATGGTTCATTTTCGGGTAATTATGTATAATAAGGCCTTTTTCGAATTTTGATATTTTTTTGCAGCTTTTTTGGTAAAAATATTTATTTTGACTCCAATATTGATAATCAATCGGGAGAGTCCGAAAAATATACAAGTTATATATTGTTTTAATTTTTTCTTTATTTTTTTTCACTTGTCCCCTTATAGAAATATACTAAGAATCATTGATAATTACTTATTTTCAGTATTAAAAATACTGGATAATAAGTAATTATCAATGATTCTTAGTATGATATTTCTATAAGAGTCGAACGTTGCTGCTTTCCCACAATTTAAACAAGTTACTGATCTTTTAATCACATTATGTAACTGCAATATCGAACGACAATAGCGAGGGGTTGCGCCCCCCGCACCCCCCTCAAAACTAACTTAACCCAATCTATCGTCACATTAACAGTCAGTCATTGTTTATTAAAATGTTCAATTTTGTTTCTAAATAATTTTTTAATAATGACTAACGGTTAATGTGACGATAGATTGGGTTAAGTTAGTTTTGAGGGAGGTGCGGGGAGCGCAACTCCTCGCTAGTCGTTCGATATTGCAGTTACATAATGTGATTAAAAGATCAGTAACTTGTTTAAATTGTAGGAAAGCAGCAACGTTTGACAAGTGAAAAAAAAAAAGTTAAAACAATACATAACTTGCATATTTTTCGGACTCCCTCGATTGATTATCAATATTGAAGTCAAAATAAATATTTTTACCAAAAGAGCTGCAAAAAGATATCAAAATTCGAAAAAGGTCTTATTGTACATAATTACCCGAAAAAGAACCAGGAATATTGAAATACTAGATAGTACATCGATCGTGCCTGACGGTACTTCCACAGCAGCACTTGAGATCGATATTTCGGTCAAATATATGATTTTTTAATATTTAATTAAAATTATCTGGATGACTCACAAACCTTTTTAATGATACTTCATAACTCTTCATACGAAATACAAACGATACCGAACCTTTGTTTAATTTACCTCCGGTCATTATTTCTGGCTAAATACATGGTCCAAAAAGAACAATTAATTACAAGTAATAAAATTACTCAAATCTTTTGAATTGCACTTCAAAACTTTTCATACGAAATACAAACGATTTAAAAGAATAGTTTTCCAACCGGAGTTTTTTTCCGGTTAAGTACATACGAATCTCCGAATACCCTATGTTCTGTCGTCTAATGCAGGATTCACATAGCGTCCGATGTCCGACGTACAAAGTCCGATATCCAATAGGAGAGCAGCTTTCTAATATAGAATTCAATTCTCCATTGGAAAGCTATTCTTTTATTGGATATCGGACGTCGTACGTCGGACATCGGACGCGGTGTGAATCCTGCATAATAGAGTGAAGCCAACATCTAGAAAGATTGCTTTCCAACAAGAGACACAAGTCGACACAAACATCATTCTATCTTTGTTCCACATTTAGTGAGTAACAAAGATAGGATTATACTTGTGTCGACTTGTGTCTCTTGTTGGAAAGCAATCAAAAAGAGCTAAGAGTAATGGCGTTGGGATATACACTTATATATGCGTTTGCTCAGAAGGCAGAAAAGGGTGTATATCAGTTGGACACGGGGCAATTGGACACAGTCCAATCACAAGTCGCTGTTCCAAGGGACCCTACAAATGTCTCTAATCATACGGTGCTGTGATTGGCTGTGTCCAAATGCACCGTGTCCAAGTGCAGCGCTCCCTATGAGCCGTGGCAACACCTCTAGCCAAGTATTGAAGGAAGGAAGGAAGAAAGAGAGCTAGAATAGAGGATATAGTTTTCTTCCTATTTTGTTGCGCGTGCATCCATTTCTCGTTTCCATAATATTTTAAAGTGCAACAGCATTCCAACTAGACTGGCAAGTAAAAGTCTTACTTAAATTTTATTACACTCTTTCTGTGCAAAAAAACAGAGAACACAGAAGGGCTGTACATATTGGCTTCACTTTTCCGACCGTATACGGGGACCATATATACTATGTATACTACATCCATGCTTTGCACGTAGAAAAATTTTAACCATGACCGTAAGGTCGTCAAAAAACTGACCAATCAGAGTTGATTATTCTTCTTCCGTCCAAGGAATAATCGACTGTGATTGGTCAGTTTTCTTACGATCTTACGGTTACGGTTACGGTTACGGTTAAAATTTTTCTACGTGCAAAGGCCCTTAAAGCCCATTCTACAATTGCGTGAATGTGGTTATAAGTGGTTGTATGTGATTATGACAACCAATCAGAATAAAGCAATCAGTAAATAAAACATTCGGATTGGTTGACTCTTACGATCACGACTACGCTTACGCAATTGTAGAATAGGCTTAAGATCTTCACACACAAATTGACATAACAGTAACGTAAGACGTACCGTAAGAATTGACCAATCATGTTGAGAATCATTGAATCGTAAAGTCGCCATTTTAATGAATACTCGATCGTAATTGGTCAATTCTTACGGTACGTCTTACGTTACTGTTATATCAATTTGTGTGTGAAGGCCCTAAAGCCCATTCTACAATTGCGTAAGCGTAGTCATGAACGTAAGAGTCAACCAATCCGAATGTTTTATTCACTGATTGCTTTACTCTGATTGGTTGTCGTAATCACTTACAACCACTTACAACCACGTTCA